AATGAAAAATAAATAGTGTGGGCTAGAAGTTGTTTTATTTTAATATTATTTTTAATTTCACACAAACTACACTAATATTATAAAGAGATAAAGTTTCTAACTTAGTTTATCGGAGAACCTAATCTTCGGAAATATTGATTAAACAATGACAATTCTTTCACCTACGACAAGCTACATTTTACGCGGGTGACATTGGCTAATTCTTTTTAATTTGCGCAGTAAATCGCGAAATAATAAATAGTTTCTTATATTGAGATACAACAACATATTTTACTTTGTCAATAACGTAGTCTAACATAAAAAACCTAGCATGGCAACACTTAGCAATGAGTTTTTATCTCTAACATATATTCCGGAGACAAGTTTCATGAAAATCTTATGATGAATTTACTCGAATTCCATAAAAATCGTTGATTTTTTTTTTTTGCAAATATGACTCTACGATTTATCAATTTTGAAAAAAATAATTTTTTTTTAGAAATTAGTAATTTATTTTGAATAAAGTTTTATAAATTCCCGTCTGAATCGTTTTTTGATCTATACTTTTTTGTTCACAATTAACTTCTTTTGTGATTTGCTTTTGCAAAACTTACAAGTCAAAATTATAATTAAAGCTATCAGTAGGTACTCAAAATTTTGTTCTTTACCTACATTTTAATAATTATTCGTGTGATCTAAATACAGTAGTGTTTGCGTTGTAAATTTATTATTTATTGTTTCAATTAATAATTTGTATGTTGTTTTATGGTTATCAAAAAAAAATTCGAATCGTGAAAAATTAATATCTCTTAAAACCGCAACTAATGTTTGTGCTGTAACAAAAACAAAGAGTGAAAGTGTCATCGGCTTTCCGTCCGTCGATCACAGCTCCAACGTTTAGAAGCGTTTTTAAACTAACCATTTTAAGTATTACATTACATTGTGTGTGCTAATTGCTATGACGTCAAACTAATAATGGATTAAGTTCAATGTCTCTGCGGTCACAGTTTTTAGTGAAGACTACATTGTTTAAATTGTATAAGGTAAAAAATGTTGGTACATTGCAGAACGGTTATAACAAGCCCGCTTCTCAGATAGATTCTTTTGAATTTTCAATTTGCTGGCTTCTTGCTAGAAAACTTATGTTATGAATATCTCTTACGATAATTATTATAGGCTTCATTAAGAGAGAGAAATGTACATCTTCTACTTATTATACATGTGTAGGTATAACATATACCTAATTATCTTTCTATCTTTGATTTATGAGAATTTATATATAATGTATTAATAAGATTGTACTATTTGAATGATTTATGTACTTTTTTTCAATTTACAATTTGATTTTAATTAATTGTTGTGAAATTTTAGATTTTGTTGAATGACTTTATGTTTTAGTGATTAGTATAATGTTATTTTATAATTTAAACGATTTTTTATAAATAATTATTTTATTTTTTTTAAATTTATAATTGTGGATATGTGTGTCAATGCTTGAAATAAATTATTATTATTGACATAAAGAGATAATCGTATAGTTGGTCTAAACCTCGTTTAAACCATAGATCGTCTAAAAAAATGACAAAAAAGAAAAGGTCAAATTGAGACGTATACTGTTTTAAATTTATTTTGGTGGGATAATGTTTTAAACCTGGTATTAGAGTTGTCGACGTTTTAAAATAAGGCGGTATAGGTTTAGTATGAGAGATTGTTTGTTTGTGCAATCGCATTTACCTATCTCAAAACGATTTGAACAATTTAGACACGGTTTTGTATTAAATGTTTGTGTTTCATTTATTGGCAACGATTCTTTGTTAGTTGTTACGTTGATCTTACCATGGGGTCTGCAATAAACATTTTGTTATAAAGAAATGTCGCTATTTATCTTCAGATTCGTTTGTCCTGTTTGAGACCATTCAAATTTAACTATTTTTATGGAGTTATTTCTCATAAAAAGTCGCCTTTGTGTTATACTCAAACATTTTTCCAGATACATTTTAAAGTTGATTGACTTTATTATTTATTGTAAGATATACTTAATCAAAGAATACTTTAAAGTTAATTAAAATTATTAGTAGTAATCATAAATATGACTATGTTGATTAATTGTTGGAATCAAAAACAAATATTCACTGTATGTTCCCTTAATCCCGTAATGGTCATCTTTACAAAAATTTACAACTTATTCAGCATTCTAGTAATAATATTGTCTGATCTTTATCGTGTACAGACAAACACATGGTGAAACTATGATTCATATGTAGATTTTCTTTATTTCTGCCATAAAGCTGTTTTATTATATATAGTAAAAAAATAAAAATTATTACACGCATAATTTTAATAGAACATAATTGACCTACTATAAGAATACGATTGTAATGAAGTTGCTATTGATGTCACTATTCATATTATTGTCAAGTCATGTATGTACTAGTTTAACGTAACAGCCAACACATTGGCAAATCACCTCATTATACCCACTATGCATACAATTTTGACACCGATTTGGCTCCACATTCAATACATATACAATATAGACTTTATATCTTTTGATTACATCATATTTTTAACCTAGAATCTAATTGAACGCATATTTGAAAAACATTTTTTTTATTGACTAAATAAAGGGGATATGTTAAAATATTCATGTTTTGCTTGATGGCGCAACGATAAGTGATTTGGTCTGCGATGCTAAGATAAGTAATTTTCGCATTGGCTGGTCATAGGACGGGTGACCAAAATATTACTATCTCGAGCTCCTCCATGCTCTGGACAATTGCTCAGTTCACCCTCCCTGTAGTGCTGCTATTCTGTTATAAAAACAATCTCTCACATCGTAGAGGTTCAATGATATAATATTTTTTTTAAATATCAGACATCACATACTCTGCTCAGAATCAAAGTGTAGTATCTGCGACAACGAAGGTGCCACAATACCTTTGTGTTATACCTGAAGCAATAAAAAAAATTTCTCCGTTGATCCGACCAGGAATAGAACCTGGGACCTCAGAGATAATAATACCTCGAAACTGACGTACGAGCCAAGAAAACGTCCATTAAGGTTTAAAGACGCCTGTAAGCTGTAATGGATTTCAAATTTGTATGGGTAATGTCGCTTTAAAGTAATTTTAATAAACGTTTGTGCAACTGGCTGTATAAGCCAAAAATTTTTAAATATAACACAGTCATCATGTTGCCGCAACTTATAAAAGTGTAACATATATTTAATATGGAATTATCATTACAACTTGCACTTTAGTTGTCATATACCTGAGTGACCATAGGATTTTTTGTTTTTTATGCAAACCAACAATTAAAACTATTTGAAAGTGTAAACTGACACTTATTTCGTACGTCACAGAGCAAGAGAGCGATAATTCAAGATGTTATCTGCGCCCAGCCACATAGCGAGTAAAGAGAATTAAAACGTTTATGAAATCATTAACATTAATTGTCTGTCAGAGGAAAATTATCATTGCATATTAAGGAATTGTTTTTAATATATTGCTGCTTTCTCAAAAAAGAAGAAGTATTTTTAAAGTATTGTTGAACATTAAGAATAATTTTTGGGTTCAAATGTAGCTACAAAGTTCAGATACTTATTTATTTGAGAGATAATTATTTTGTTAGATATTGAACTTGAATATACTACCAGTTACAGCAAAAATCGATATCTTGTATCTCAGTAACGCAACGTCTTCAAAATTTTTATTTAAATATTCACATTTCTATCGACAAATGGTCGACTGGTGGCACAGCCAAAATATTCGAAACTCTATAATAAATCATAAGATATACTTTAGTTCTGGTTGTTAGTATATATTGATATGAAAATACAAATAGTAATCAATCAGTCCTTTCTTTTAAGTTGTAACTTATTTTCAATTATAAAAAAAATGTTGTATTAAACCCATAAACAATGGTAATCTACGAGTATATATATGTTATGCTTAAAGATCGAAAACGCTCATTAAGCGAAAAAATAGTAATACTAAAATACAAAACTAAAATCTTACCGTAGACCTACTTATAATGCAACGGAATATATTAATTCAAATATATTTATAAATTCAATACCTTTCCTTTTCCGATGACTTTGTACAGGATGGACTTGCATTTCGTACGCACAAAACTAAATATTTAATACTTCGCTATATCATGCCAAGCGTACCTAATCAGCCAAACATTATTGAATAATTAAGGTAACCAATAATGCCATAACATCATATAGCTGAACTAGTTACGATTACTAATTAATCAAATAGCCGTTTTCTCGTTACTTCAGCCGCGTTAATTATAGACTACGTCATCCACATCTGATGTATCTTCCTGTAGATGAAAGAGTTTTAAAATCGGTCCATTAGTTTGGATTTTATCTAATACAAACAAAAAATAATGGAATCTTTCCCCTATATAACATTAGTATAGATATACTTTGATTACCAGCCGTAATTCATAGCTTTACCTATTTGGACAAAGGGATTGAGATGTTTGTTCACGGTAAATAGGATTGGTTACTGTGAACAGTAACATAACTGGATCCCATCAACTGTCTTCCTTCACACACAAAATATTTACTATAACTGCACTCTGTTGCATCTAGGAAATCTACAACCAAAAATATGCATCTACCTACTTTTTCAGTTCTACATACTGATACTTAATATACGAGTATATAAATACAAACAAATTGTATTATGAAACCTAGTGCCGGTATAAGTTATCTCAAACGCTTCATAACTTATACACAACTCGTTAAATAAATTTGAATAAAAAAAGATTTTAGGAAATTGTTTCTAATAATATCTATTTTCAAATATTTTGAGGACTTACCCTAGTAGATTTCTTAATCATCTTTGCTAGTAAACGTTGAAGTAGGTTCAAATCTGGGAAAAATATAGGTTCAAAGATTAAATTTGTCCATACAGTAGAAGCAATTAATAAGCAAATCATAGTTTTTTTTAAATTCATGAGTGAAATTATAAGATTTACCTGCTAATAAAAACTTATCATTTGTCTAGATGTGCAGGCAAACGGAAGCGTGAGCCATGCGAAGCGACATGGCGTACCGCGGTTTGTCGCAGCACGTCGAGCTGGACCGGGCTGCCGATCCTCGCGACCGGTTCACGCTGCAAGAGCTTATCGGCGAGGGCACATACGGCGAAGTCTACTGTGCCAGAGACAAAAGAAGTGGCAAGAGAGTCGCCATCAAAGTGAGTAGTTTAACAATTCCTGATAACCGACCACATGTTAATGAACTGGAACAAACCTTGCGGCTTTTCAGCTCCTTTAATTTCATCGGTCGAAAACATCAAGAAAATAATAAATATGCAGCACTTTTTACATTTTGCACAATATCCGCGTATAAAAACACCATAATGAAAAAACAATTTTATTTTCTATTACTACAATGTCTATTAAAGAAACATAAAGACAGCAACATAGCGATTGCTACTTTGAATCTACTTCGTTTGCATCAGCTAAACTGGTTAAACACTTTCATCCGTTTGATGTAACATTTTAAGTAAACGCTAAATTATGGAGATTTTTGGTATATTAATTTGCAAATCGAATGTCTTATAAATAATGCATTACACTACCGTTACTTGATTAATGAGTCAGCAAATAAGAAGACTAACATTTGTTGCTAATTAAAAACAAATGTTTGAAATGAATGGAAGCTCGCAGGCAAAAAAATAATAGATGGTATTGTTTGCATAGCGCCTGTAATTGATGTGTAGATGTTATCTTAAACAAAGTATTGATGTCAAGGTCCCTAACGATATATTGTTTATTTTGTTGGTTAGCTACTCTGCATAGCTTGGTGTCAAAATTTATAATGTAACTACTTATTACGTATCGTATGTTGCTGTTGTAAATAATTACGTAAACGGTTTTGGTTATTTGCAGATTTTAGAAAATATCACAGAGAATATTGAAGAAATCGAAGAAGAGTTTTTAGTTTTTCGTGATTTATCCAGTCATCCGAATATTCCAGAATTCTTCGGTTTGTTCCTGAAAAGAGGCCTTAACTCTGATGATGATCAAATATGGTTCGTTATGGAAGTAAGTTCTTTTAAATATATGAGATATAATTTTAATTACTTTTGAAATTCTTTATTTTTGTAATTCTGCACTAGAACGATTTGTTGTAACCTAATGATTTTCTTCTTTACAGCTATGTACGGGTGGTTCAGTGACAGACTTATGTTCCGGCTTAAGAGCTCGGGGAAGTAATCTCACTGAACCACAACTGGCATACGTTTTGCGTGGAACCGTGCGCGCTCTCACGCATCTACACGCCCATAGGTGCATGCACCGTGACGTCAAAGGTCACAACATACTTCTCACCGAAGACGCTGAAGTGAAACTTGTTGACTTCGGTGTGTCCTCACATCTAGCTGCTACTGCAGCTAGAAGAAATACATCAGTAGGGACTCCTTATTGGATGGCTCCAGAGGTAAATAAAGATGTGCACAACTATGAAGGGCAAACATAGCAATAAATAACTGATATTAATGAATGATTTTTATCACATGAATCTACTTACATGTTTCAGGTCATAGCATGCGAACAACAATTAGACCAATCTTACGATTGTAGGTGTGATGTATGGTCAGTTGGTATCACAGCTATTGAGCTTGCGGAAGGTGAACCTCCTTTATCGGGACTGCATCCAATGAGAGCGCTATTTCAAATTCCTAGAAATCCACCGCCGTCTTTATCTCATCCGGAGTTGTTTTCACCTCAACTTACAGACTTTATTAGCGATTGCCTTATTAAAGATATGAACCAAAGACCTTTCGCAAGGGAACTTTTAGAACATCCGCTTCTACTTGCTGTTAATACTTTTGAAGATAAGGTGATTTTCAGAACTTTTAATAACAACCATTATAATGATTAAATACATAAGGAGATTTGATAGAATAAAATTCTGTTTAATTTCATTTCTCTACTGGTTTTCTTATAGATACGAAAAGAACTCCAAGCAGAAATAAAAAGGCAAAGAGCTGATGGCCGTATCAGTCGTGCACCTGAAGCTACAACAAAAAGAGGCAAGTTAAAATCACACAGAAAGGCGCCTCCTGAAAAAATGTATACCGATGACCTGGCAACACTCGAGGTGCTAACGGAAGAAGCCATAGTTGAGCAGTTACAAAAGCGATATAATCAAAACCACATATACACGTATATAGGTGATATTCTGGTCGCAGTGAACCCTTTTACTGACATTGGAATTTACACAACCAAGGTAATATTATGAGCTATAAATTATCTAGATACCTTTGCAATATTACACTGAATCGCAGATAAGGTTGACCGTATTTAACTAAGTATAATAAGAAAATCTATGAACCTATGGATGTAACAAAACTTTTTATATTTTAGAGTCAACAAATTTATCAAGGCCGATGTAGATCTGACAATCCACCACATATTTATGCAGTGGCTGATGCTGCTCACCAAGCACTCTTGCACCAAAAAGTACATCAAGCAATCGTAATCTCTGGTGAAAGTGGTGCTGGCAAAACTGAATCTGCTAATCTTTTGTTAAAGCAGCTTGTATTCTTATCTAAGGTATAATATATTTAAGCTGTGACTGTAAAATCCTAGTTAAGTCCGTTTTATTATTTACATCCACTTGTCTACCGTTGCAATATTTTTATTATTACCATCATGAAGAACATTAACAGTAACCTTATTTTATATGTAAAAAGAAATTACAAATTAATTTATAGAAAATATTTTTTTAATTCCTCTGATCATTTATGAATTATTTTCGATTCTGTATTGCTTTCACTAGCTCTTTTATAATGTTATTATATATTCCTCTGGCCATTTAATCCTATACGGATAGGTAGCTTAATGATGTGTACTCAGGCACATAACATATCTGATTTCATGAAATATCAAAGTAGGTATTTGCTTTTTTGATTATCGAAATGACACGTGGTTCTAAAATAAATTTATTTTTTGTGATCAGGTAATTCATTAATTTGTACGTTGATCTATTTATTCGTGTTTACTAAAAATCATTACGATAATGAACATTGACACTGAATTCTAATTGTTAACCTTTATGGAACGGTTCATGGCTAGAAATTATAAATGTTCATAAAAAAAATAAAAATGTCTTTATCGTAAAACTTAAATAATATTATATCCGTCAAATTCAGCTTTCTAATTTTGCAATGACATTTTAACCTTAAAGTATAATCGCATATCTAATTTCATTCCATAACTAATATCCCGTGCCTGAAAGTTATCATCATTATTTACTTTTACTTTCACTTGTTTTTAGAAATTATATAAATATCCTACTACTAATATTATAATTGTGAGAGTTTATTTGTTCAACGTCAAAAGCATTAATTTCAATTTACTATACATATATTTCATATGTAACCTTGATTACCATAAAAGATAGGTACTTATTACCACGACACCAGTCCAAAATATACATAAACAAAATTTACAAGCTTAGTCAACTTGCATACGCACCATGCATACCTATAAGAAATATTATATTATAATTTCAGACACAAAATCGAAATTTAGAAGAGAAAATACTTCAAGTAAATCCTATCATGGAGGCTTTTGGCAATGCCCGTACAGGAATCAACGCAAACAGTTCCCGATTCGGAAAGTATCTAGATTTATCTATGATGCGAGTGGGCAGAATATCCGGTGCAAGAATATCTGTCTATCTGTTGGAACAATCGAGAGTGGTTCATCAGGCATTGTAAGCAAATCTTCTGACCAAATTACTGATACAGCAGTATCTTTTATGTAGTTTTGTAAATAAAAGGAGTGCATATATTTTATGCAATGTAAAGATTAAAGTGGAGCCAATGGCGCAGTGATTAGTGCTCTTGGTCTGCAATACGGTTGATAAGTAACTTTCGCAAGGGCCGGTTACAGGGTAGATGACCAAAAATTAACTATCTCGTCGCTAGTCTCTATTGCATCTGCACTCGTTAACACACACGAAACCACACTGGCGCCACGTGGTATGTCATGGCCCATTCTTCTTACTCAATTTGATTCGATTCCATCCATAGGTAAGACCTGTGCCCCAGAAGTGGGGACATTAATAGGCTCATGATCATAATAAAGATTACTAACATAAGCCGAATAGCGTAATATGTTTTATGAAATATTTACAGGCTTCAAAGTCGAAATATATGTTGCATGTTACATTACAAACAATAAGGTGGCGATATACTTACAAGAATAATAAAAATTCCTAATGGTTATTATTGATGGTGTATGCTAATATTTTCAGAGGAGAGAGCAATTTCCACGTATTCTACTATCTGTACGACGGCTTAGAAAGTGAAGGACGTTGGAGGAAGTTCTACTTAGACGAACAATTAAAATCGAGACATCGATACTTGCAGCCATTGTCGGTGGTTCATAGGGAACACAACGTACATCGCTGGCGACAACTTAATCAAGCCTTTAGGGTATGAACAGAATAAACACCGTACCGCTTAATCACAAATACCAAATGGTTGTATAATGAAAATTAGACTGTCATAGTCATAAATATTTTTAACTTTAATTAAACCTATACAATAATGAAATGGCTGATTTCAACTTAACTTAATATTACTACTTAATATTATGCTCGTTGCAGGTAGTTGGCTTTCAAGATGAAGAGGTACAAATCATATACAAAATGCTGGCAGCTATATTACATCTAGGTGATATTGAGTTTGGAGAGATGGCCGGTGAAGATAACACAGACAATAGAGCAACCGTCATTGACACGGCACCACTTCATCGAGGTTAGTGAAATACTCATCGTCATCATCAACATATACCTATACAGAGGCACATTCCTTTCAGAAAGAGAAAAATACAGAAAGAATAGGCCATAATCGGTAGACCATAACTGACATAAGATGGTGACTAAATTATTTATATGTACAGGGTACGGATGCAACATAAGCCCTGTGTGAATTCATAGATGCTAACAACAAAGTTCGAAACAATGAACTCGAGATGATAAATTAAGCTACACATGGAACATTTGCAAGGAATATTTTCTAGGTTTATTTTTAATTGATATTTTGAACTATTATCCCTGAAATGTTCCAAATAGCAACTACGAAGATAGGCGTATGAAATAGACAGGTTTTCTATAATCTCTACTATGTTCTTGGTAACACTTAAAAAAAATCGTAAGGAGGACCCAAACAAAAAAGTTGCGAACAGAAGATTAAATGGAAAAAAAAATGTCTTAAATAATATCGTCATTTTGATTCTTGATGATTTATTTTTTATCTGCGACAGTGATTTACCCAGAAATATTTTCAAAAAATTTGACGATTGTCAATGTAGTTATTGTATGTAAAACTTGGTTTTCATCATTAAAATATAGATGTCTATATTATGTCATCAGCATCTTGTCTTCTGGGCGTCGAAACCGCAGATCTACGAGAATGTCTGACTAGCAGTAGTGTGGTTGCTAGAGGAGAAACTATTGCCCGACATAGTTCTCCTATTGAAGCTGCAGTTGCAAGAGATGCCACTGCACGTGGTTTATATGCTAGAGCTTTTGACAGAATTGTTGAGAGGATTAATGCTCTATTGTGTCAAAACAGACCGCAAGGGTAAGGACATGATTAGAATCCACTTACAGAATTAGAATGTTAATATAAGGAAAGTTTTTATAAAGATATTTTAAGAATTGAAATGAATAATTCAATTCCCTTATTGCAAAACAGTCTGAAGTTAAAAGAAAAATTTGATTCCAGCATTTTTCTTTAAGAAATATAAACGCAAAATTGGTCTACTATAATAATAATTCAATTATTTAGAAATCAATGGATTTCTAAATTATAATAAACTATAATACGCGTTTTTGGATTTAGAGAATTGAGAAAATGAAAAAAATATTATCTCTTTTTTATCTTTTCAGAATCGAACAGTTATCCATTGGAATATTAGATATCTTTGGCTTCGAAAACTTTACGAAAAATTCATTCGAACAACTATGTATTAACGTTGCAAATGAACAAATTCAGTATTACTTCAACCAACACATATTTACATGGGAACAACAGGAATATATGGCTGAAGGAGTCCCTGTTGATCTCGTTGAATTCTCAGATAACAGGCCTGTGTTAGACATGCTATTGTCACGACCAATGGGATTACTTGCTCTACTTGACGAAGAAAGCAGGTTCCCAAGAGCGACAGACAGAAGTCTTATAGGTAAACAAAAAGAAATCGCAAGATTATTTCAATTCCTACTTTATGTAATATTGAATTATTTTGCGTATGTAATCTACATTTGTGTATTCAATTTGCCATGACTGTAACTAACATGCAAATTAACACATTTTTTGTTGATTGCACTTTATTAATTGGAACATGAATAATTTATGACGGCAATATTGTTTGCAGAAAAATTTCATAATAACCTCAAGAGTAAATATTACGTCCGACCTAAGTCTGATGCAATATGCTTCGCAATCCATCACTTCGCCGGTCGAGTAGTGTATCAAGCTGAAGGTTTCTTAGAGAAAAATAGAAACTTCTTACCCCCGGAAGTGGTTCAACTAATGAGGCAGAGTCAATATGACATCATCAGATTTTTGTTCCAGTGCCCTATTACGAAAACAGGAAATCTATACTCTCCTCTCCAGGGCGATTTAGATACTAGGACATTAGAAAGCCCAATTTGTGGAGATATTCGGGTAAACTTTTTAGTCATTAAAAATTTATGTTTGAATTTTAAGATGGTTTGCATTTATTGTTTGTCTATATCTATATTTTTAGACAATCATTACAGTTTTTTAGGTTGCTATTTATTCGTTCATCTATAAACGTAGCGGTATTCTTCAAAGTACACGATATTAATAATATTTTCGATAGTATCGATCGGTACTATAAAAGAATGCCAGTAAATTTGATACGTGAATAAATCATAATAACAGTAAAAAGAGACAAAATTGCCTGAATATAATTTAGTCAGAGTATTCTCGAGTATTTTCGAGTTCATTTTTGCGACTGCTACTTGTAATTTTGTGACGAAACAAATATGTATTTATACAACTTCCTAAAACAATAATAAGATTCTTGATGATTTTAGGATCGCTTTAACAGCAGAGGTCTGGCCTCACAGTCTCGTGCTCAACAAACTGTAGCTACTTACTTCCGTTATTCATTGATGGAATTACTACAAAAAATGGTTAGCGGCACTCCACAGTTCGTTAGATGCCTCAAACCGAACGACTCGCGATCACCCAAACATTTTGATTCGGCAAAAATCTTAAAACAACTTAGATACACAGGAGTACTAGAAACTATAAGAATAAGACAGAATGGCTTCTCTCATCGACTCTCTTTTGAAGAGTTTATTAAGAGGTTTGTCATACAATATGCCAATAGTATTATAATATGTCCGGTTAATACAAAACATGACCAGATTCTCTTCGTATTAATTTTACATATTATTTAAATATTTCAGATATAGTTTCTTAGCATTTAGTTACGACGAAGAAGTAAAACCGAATCGAGACACGTGCCGTAATTTACTGATGAGACTTAAAATGGATGGATGGGCGCTTGGCAAATCCAAAGTCTTTCTTAAGTACTACCACGTAGAAGTTCTTGCCAGAATTTATGAAGAACAGGTATTTATTGAAATCCTAAATTAAGTTCACAAGTTGTGATTTTTACACAACTTCTTTTGTAATTACATTGTGATTGTTTTTTGTTACATTGTTATTCTTACTTTATGCTGCTATAGCAAGTTCAGTTCAGTTCAGTCTAATAATTTTAATATTCGAACGAAACTTCAGAAAATTTCGAATCGTTCTTTTAATTTTGTTAAGAACATATCCGTGAAGAGTATATCTGCATCAGATAAATTCTCAGATCCTATTTTCGTTGCATTATAAATTATCCAAAAAAACCTTTAGAGTAGTATTAGCATTTTTAAATTGACGAAATGTCGTTTTTCAGATAAATAGAATATGCTATTAAGTTGTTATTGCGTATATGGAAAATCCAAAGCATTTAATTTTTCCTCTGTTCTCAAATAAATAGTTGCGCTGTAACAAAATTCCAGATTCGAAAAGTAATACTAGTGCAAGCATGTGGCCGCGGCTGGCTGGCCCGCCGCTACTACCAGCGGTTGAAGGCTCAGATGGCGATATCGGTGTTGACGCTGCAGCGACATGTACGTGGCTGGCTCACTCGCAAGAAACTGCAGGAGCGGCAACGACAACTCGCCAGAGAGTTCCAGCGGGAACAGATGGAGCAAGACAGTCAGAGGAGACATCAGAAATCCGGTTCGTTTACCAAACCTATATGAATTAAAATCTTCTTTATAAATAATTCGCTTTCTATAAGCGCCTTCGCCCACGGACTTATTCCGTTTATCGGGCTTATTTGGTCAGCTACCTATCGTATACTTTATATCTTGTCTTGCTTCTTCGTATTATGTCCTCTGCAGTATGCAATAAATCATAGGTATATTAATATGACGTTGGTCAATATGTATTTCATATTGTTAGGAGTTTATGACTAGAAACGATTAATTTAGTAATTTTACTGTTTTTATACACTTTACATTGGTAAATTTTCTAAGATATATTCTTTTTAAATAGAATTTTCTAACAATTCATAGGGACCAAGCAATCGAATTTCTATGTAAACTGAAAATTATAACCAACATCTATAAATATGTACATTAATAACGTTGATCACCCACATTAGCGAATTAATCCATAAGATATTTTTTACAGGTGTACCAAACAAAAACAAAGCAATGCTGAAGGCGAAAGTGTTACGCAGAATGACGTCAGATGATAGCGATAGTAATGAAACAAATTACGGCAACAAAGAGAACATCGACACTAACAAAGCTGCTGTTGTCATTCAAAGCCGTGAGTACTAATACAATGGTAGAATGTAAATTAATATAGTTGACGAGTATGAAAATTTGAATAGTAATGAGTCTAGGTAACATGAATACTTCGGAAGTTACACCAGTACCAGGTACTCGTACAAGTAAGACCATTTGGAAATCGTTTTAATTATAATTGTTGTAAATGTTATTTTTTTAATAAGGTTCAACAACAATACTTTACATATGATAGGAGATAATGATTGTCATTATCATTGGCTTATTAATTAAAATTATTTTTATTCTAATACAGACACAGGACGCAAAAAATTTAAATAACAATATATAGGAAAAAACATGACCCTATAACAATTACTATTAAAACCATTTGGTAATATCGCGCCTGATTCAGGGCTACAGATTAAGTTACCACTGCAGTTCCCTATGGATGAAATCATATTAGAAGAAAGGGCTATAACCCACCATACGGGCTCAGTGTGGGTTGGTTGATATTAACGACTGCCAGTGCAGCCAGGACCAACGAATTATCATACGTTCCGAAGCACGACGGGATCGAGATAATAATAATTTTTGGTCACCCATTATATGACCAGCCCTTGCGAAAATTGCTTAACCTACGCATAGCAGACCCGTACTTCGCAATTAAAACGCATACTACTCAAATTAATTTACGAACGTGTTTGAAAAATAATATTGTTAACGATATTAACATTTTATGGCATAAGTGAAGTGAGTTACGAGATTATATAGGTACCTATATAATAATCTGAGACACGTATAGTCAATCTCGTTTTGTATTTTTATACAAAAATAATGTAATCAATAGAATATCTACACTAAATGACGTGACAAATAAGTTAATTCGAATTCGGATTTTTACAGAAAGTTATTCCGGATTTCAGATTTTCGAGGGTATACGGCTCGTCGCAAGTGGGCTAAGGGTCGTGCTCCTCCACCCCCCAAGCAGCCAGCACCCCCACCGCCGACGTCACAACAACTAATGCAACAATACTCCGTACAAGAACGTGCGGCGCAACTACAAAATTTTGCTGATCAGGTAAGCGAGAACAGTAGAAATCACTATCTGCTACGATTAGAATATTTAGTATGGGATATGGGCAACTGATCAGAATCATTCTGATGACGAAGATGGTCTTCTATATCTTTGTCATACAGTTTGTAATCACACTATTTCTACGCATATTTGAGTTCGACGAAATGATTCACAGAAGCAATGGATGTAACCTTCAATAAGCTGAAATATTAAGTTCGCTCGTCGTGTTTCATGGATTTAGTATGGAGTATGGGATTTCACATTTGGTAATAAATTGACCGAGCGGCGATACAAATAAATTTCGACTACGAACGTTCAATGCTTTTCGTAAATGGACTAACTATATTTTCAAGATTTATTGTAAGTGTAAGTAAGTGTGAAAGATATGGTTATGAAGGCAGCGAAGGTTCATATTATGGCTGATCGAGTAATACGGAACGTAATGATGTGGCGGTCCTAGATAAAATATAAACCAGGTCAAGTGAACAATGTCCTGTCTGTTTAAGAAACTAGTGAAAAAAACTTGAAAAACGTTGACATATCTAAATATTTTATTTGAGGTTTCACTATTGTAAGCTTTATTTGCCAACCTTTGTATAAATAAATGGTGATGTTGTACAAGTTCTGGCTTAATAAAATTTGATGCAATGAGAAATAATATAACCAAACACATAAAACATTAATTTCCAGGTTCACGATAAAAATCAAGAAATGCACAAGAACCTTCGTCGTAACAAGCCTGGTGTACGTTTGCAAGATGTTCAGCGGCCGCCTGATGAATACCGTCCTCCGCCAGGATTTACATTAGTACCGGCCATTATAAGAGGGCAACCATCACAGCTTGAACGAGATGCTAGCAGACTATCCAGGTAAATTCAAGATGTATATACTAATTACTCTCACGCCAGCAATTTTTATGATTAACTTGCAATAATGCAAACAAAATTTTTAATATTCTCCTCCAATTGATAATAATACATGTTTGATAAAAACTATACACATATTATTCGTGTGATCTGTTGTAGGAAGACACTACTGATTTCAAGCTCATCACAATCAGAAATTTATGTTAAATAAAACAATATTTTTCTTGACCAGAATAGGTAATATTACGCAATGTTTGTGGTAGCATTTGTTCATATAGAAAAGAAGTTTTCTTATTATACATTTATTGTCTAATCCAATTTTTCAAGTAAAATTTTACTTGAAAACTTTACAATCTTAAATCCTCAGATTTATAATTAATGTATTTAACAAATTAATTATTTAATTCTAAATAATAAAAAATTGCAGGAACAGAACGGAAAAATAATGAAATGAAACTAAATAAATCCAACAAAGAAATCTTTATTTACTCATCCAATATTCGAATTATCCATTCTTACACTCAAATACGTCTCTAATAGAGTATATGTTACATTATCCATAAATACACTCTTTTAATTATAAATTAAAAATTAATATTTCACTGAATGACATTTAAATTTATAAAAAAAAATCCGACCAAGTGTTCTTGCCTCGCAAAACTCGCGCACGAAAAGTTCCGTACACGTTTGTTGTATGGCAGCGCCCCTTATATATTTGTTTAATAATAATTAATTATTTTATAATTTAATTATTTATTTTTAAAGTTACTATGTAAATACATATTGTGTAAATACTTCAAGTGTCTACCTGTTGCCGTTATCAATATCCAACAAAAACAAGCAAAAAAAAAAACACATTTTTGTATGGGCGTGCCATTAAATATTTATTTTGTTGTTGAAGCGGCAACAAAATAACATCATTTGTGAAAATTTCAATTATCTAACTTTCACGGTTCAAGAGATATAGTCTGATGACAGACAGACAGTGAGTACTTAGTAATAGGGTTCCCGTTTTACCCTTTGGTTACCGGTACGTGATAGTGCTACCTACTGGCGATGCAAATTGCAGTAGTTGATAACTACTGTGATAGTAATGATGTAAAAATAACATCAGAGTATTACTTATACCATACCGTATTATTTCTATTCATGCTTGCTCGAAATGGTTTGTGATTGCTGTGCCAGTCCATCACCTGAATTCCTGGAATCCCCAGCACGCCCCTGGGATGAGCCTTTGATGAATAAAAACATAGTCCACGTTATTAAACGCCCCAGGTTAGTTGTATTATCGAATTTGATGCTGTTGCGTAATAAATATACTTTATGTCGCCTGAACATTAATGAAAATATGCTCATTAGCAGCAAATTTAAGAAATTTGAGAGTGCAGCTATAAATACAAAAGTATTTATTTATAGGTTTGATGTAGATTGCCTGAACATTGACAAAAAAGCTTATTAGAAGTAGAATAATAAGTTTCGGGTAGCTTATGGAGATTTGAATTTGAACAGACTTTATTAGATTTATCTAAGTGCTTCTGTTGAGAGCTTGTTAATTTTTCCGCTCGTTCTTTTTTTCACCAAAAAATATTCTGAACTAATAGTAGGAAAAAATGTTGTTACGATTCAAAAGTGTTAGCAAAAAGCTTATTTGAATAAACGATATTTTCATTTAATGATAAGAGCAGTCACTCAAAATATGCATATTATGATGATAATGGTTAATGCAATCGCTAGGATTACTACAAGTTGCGGGTTCGAATCCATCTCAGGCACCTGAAACTGGCGAATTCTTGAACAGATGTATGGTTCAACTGCCATGTTTAACCAAAGTAATGAGAGATATTAACCCTATTATAGTTATAAATTTTAGTAATATTGAAAATATTTCAGTTCCAGGCATTACAATAATGAACATCACGCTCCTACTAATCAACAAAGGCAACATTTACCTTGCAGCAGACAGTGCGGTGGTCTAGTCAGGTACGATCGTCCGAACAATTATAAGAGTTTTTGGCCCTAATTTACTAATAACCGTATTTCGTTGACGCATGCTTTTCGCTCTGGAATAGGAGTAACGGGTATGGAAATAATTTAACCTTGATAGAAGTAGCTGTTTAGAAATCATTAGAACGTTATAGTTAAAACACTACAATTTGACTCGAATACGTACATATATTATGTACATATTCGAATATTTACTTTATAAAAAAATATTTCTTTGTTTAGTTTTAGAGTTTATTAGTAATATGTTATATTTTAATTAAAAAATGGAAGTAAATTTCTACATAATTTTCCACTAGATTCTTAATACACACTTATCCAGAATATGTAAAATTTGCACTAGCTTTATGCTTAAAACTTTAACATACGTGCTCACTAAACCATCATGACTAGCTATATTATTGTAAGCAATTTTAAATTTTTGAAGATTTAAAAAAGTTAAACTTACTTCAACGGATTTCAAAGAAATTATTCTTTAAATTAGCAGTAAAAGTGCTGCTTAAGAGAAAGATTATCCAAAACTATTAAATGTCCATAATTGATTTTATTTTTAACGTCTAAACAAAAAAGGTAAATTTTAGATCACCTGCCCTGACATTCTGTTAAAATCCAAACCTCAATTCGAATTAGCTTAGGTGTTCGAATTCACTTAAAAAAACGGCATCCGCTCAACCGTGAATGAGGAAATATTTAAAAAAACGAAGGCACTAAAAGAGCACCTCCACTAGATAGCGATTGCTAGAGGAAACGTATGGACCAAAGACAGTCAATTCCATTCCTTTTAACTAACATATTAAAAAATAAAATAACCGGAAAGGTTGTCATGGAGAAATTAAGAACGTACCGTAGCGACATCTAGTTTGATTTAGGGAACTAATATATATTTTTTTAAATCTTCCTCATTGGTAATTACGATTCGTGGCATAAGTGAAGTAAGTTTTGAAAATTTTGTTTTGTATTTATATACTAAAATGAAAATAGAATTTCTACACTAAATGACGTGAATTGGGACACATGAGTGAATTTAAATTTGGGTCTGGATTTTTTACAGAAACTGATGTATTTGTAGACAGTACATCGTTCACACTCAGTTTGACTGGTTCGTGTTTGGATGGAATAAATAGATGATATTAGCAATTCCTGTGTAATTTAGAAAGTCATTCAATTAATCAATCACTAGCTGTTTTCACACGAATTCGCTTGCGTAAATTACAACATGAAATACCCGCGCATGATATAGCTTCCCGTAGGTAAAACAATTTTCATGATCAGGTTATATTATCCCTACAAACAAACAAAGTTAGAAACTGCACCATTTATATTATTAGTATATATTACATATTAAATGACTGTTTCTTTACACAGCAACAAAATCAACGAACTCGTGAAACACGTTCAAAAGTCTGAGCCGCCACCACGACCAGTATTCAATCCCGCATACGATCCTGGATCTGATCTCCGCAAGATTCTACGCAATTCACCGGAAATCCTCGCCACTCCTATATTCAGCTCCGATGATGATTACACGGAAGGACCATTCCGATTCAAACAACTTCTTCGACCCACATTAGGTCCCACAGAAAGTCTCCGCAAGAGAAAAGTCCGCAATTCTCCAGGGCAAAGCCCCTGGCTCTCGGACAGTTCTCAGGACAGTACAAGTTCTAAACAAGCCTATAACAAACGTCGGCCTCAAATCAGCATGGGAGTATATTATAATTAGAGGAAGGGAGGGCAAGATGGAAAGAATAGGTAAGATGGAGCAAAAAAAGAAAATTATCGCTAGTGCTGCTATACACAGTGAGACACGTAGCTGAGTGTGATTTATATTTAGTCCAATTCGCACCAGCTACAAAATGTACAAGGAATATGTTTATATGATAGGAAAACATTACAAAAACGTCAGATTTCTCTACTTTGATTACTTAAGATCAGTAAGAAATAAGACTTTTTTGCTTTGAGAGTAAAAGCATTACAAATCAAGTGGACATATTGATACAATAACAAAAGCAAAATATTCGTGAAGTTATAGATATGTTAATGTATCGTATTTATAATACCAGCGTGCGGGCAACATATAAATTTGAATAAGAGGGCAAAATGAAAGGAGACAAAAAAAAATTTATAACAAAGAACAAAATTGCTACTATACAAACAAATTGACATAATTCATGAAGTGGAGATCAGATAATAACAAAGACAGGTAAAGAAATAATCATTTCTTAGTTTCCCGACAAGAATTACGAAAATCAGCATATGAAGACTGCTTACGATGTCTTTCGTATTGTAAATAAGTACGTTAGCTAGAAAATGGTTGTCTTTTAAGTATTAACTGCAAAACTTAAATTTGTGTCACTATTCTAAATAACCTTTAAACTTTCATTTGGCCATCTAGATGAGGGTAAATTAGAATTTCTCATACTTTTACTTTACGAGTTATGACTCATTTTATGACTAGAATATAGTTATTGTTAAATAGATATTTCTTCACATCATTTAATTACCTTTCAAGAACAAATTAATAAGAGATTTAAGTCAAGTGTATTTCTATTTATTATTATACAAAGTTAGTTCATCCATCTTGCTCTCCTTCCCCCTAACATTGGAAGTCCAAAGAAACCATTTTACTTTCAAGTTTATCAAACTATGATTCTTTGTACAAGGCAACATATATTTCCTCGGATTTTTAGAATGCTCAGAAAACCGCACCGCATCAAATTACTATTCTAAACTTTAATTTTAATTGGTTATGCTTTAAAATTGATTTGAGAAAGTCAGTATTATATGATTATTTAACAGCACATATGCTTTTTCAGATAAAGCAATCTTGTCAGTCGCTATTTTTATTGAACTTCGTGATGAAATGACACAGATTATACAGAATCCTTGAAAATAACAAAACACCACAGTAAAGTTTTATAGATTAACAATAATTAAAATTCGAACAAAACAATAATATCCGTAGGAAGGTCGTACATCATGTATAGTTTTAGCATGTCGCTTATTATATCGCTAAAATAATTTTATCAAAATTAGCACTATATAGTCAATCACATTTCTATGTAGTCGTTAAGCTTGCGATATTGTCTTGTAACAATATGAACAGTTTTTGAAACCATCCCATTCGTTATTGATTATTGTGGATAAGTAATATCAATATACAACTAATTTTCATGATAATGTCTATTTTTGTGACAATTTATGTAATCGTATTGTTATGTAAATTGCATACTAAATTTTTAGACATGGTTTATATTTTTAGGTAAGTGCGTTTAGCAGTGTAATATTATAAAGTGGTTTATACCATTATGTTCTAATTTCCGTCCGTAATATAAAATAAGCGTGTTAAAAATAACAAAATGTATTGAATTGAAACAAAAAAATGTGTATAAGTTTGTAAATCTTACTTTTAATTTAGTAAAATAATTGATTGTCAAAAAACTTCAGCATTTTTGTAGAGAAAATAGATGCAAATAGTAAATAAGTAAATTATTTTGTCATTTAATAAGAAATAATATTTTAAATAAAACCACCTATATGATTTCTTAGTGTATTTTATGTTAATTATTACTAATTATGCATTGTTAATCTTATGAATTAAATATTACCAAAGTCTTACTTGTTATGTTAGAAGATTAAGCATAGCGTATATACAATGAAATTGTAGTTGCCACCTATTCCATATACATTCTCATATGTAATCATTCTATAGTATTTATCAGTATTATTTACTAATTCTTAAAAAACAATAAAACCGATATATAATTAATTTGAAATAAGATCTCACTCAGGAGTCGATTTCGTATATTGATTACATAATATAATTTTATTCGATAATTAATAACGCCATCATGTTTGAAGAATTATATCATTGACAACTTTTGTGATAATGTGCCAATGATTAATTTAAATAAGTCTAACTACTATAAGTTAACTGTTTAAAAATAAATAAATATCATCCAGTGTACGTTTTTCTCATTTTAAATCCTGTCGTGTATGCGTCACAGAAAGTTTATGATGAAATTAATATCAATATATTTTATACAACAGCATATTACTAAAGGTCAATATGCTGTAAAGTAAAGTTAAACTTAACCATAACTAATAATAGATGAATAGATCACAAATAAATATGTGTCTCTGTGATGGGACTCGAACCCACGACCTCACGTCTTATCTCAGAGTACCTCTGGAAAAAGTGGATTTTTAAAGCATTTTTCATCACTACATAGAATAAAACAAAGTCGCTTTCTCTGTCCATATATCCCTAAGTAGTCTTAAATATTTAAAACTACGCCACGGATTTTGATGCGGTTTTTTTTTCATAGACAGGGTGATTCAAAAGAAGGGTTTTTTATGTACAATACAAGACCACGCGGGCGAAGCCGCTGGTGGAAAGCTAGTTAAGGATATTTTCGAATATAGCATCGTATATGCAAAATTTATTAAATATAATGGGTATATATATTTTTTTAAATATTATATCTTTACCTTCTTCTTGGTCGTCTAAAGAATAGTTTAAAGGGCCCACAGGTAAAATAGATATTGTCAAAAACAATGGGCAAAAACAAAACCCGCTTCAAAACGAGGATGGCAGTAAAGATGGTTCGATTTTCTACTTTACTATTTTTTAGCCAATCATTGTCAGCAATGGAAATATCCAATATTCTAATTTAATCGTATTTTTTATTCGCATTTCACATTATTCTAATTTATTCGCATTTTCATATTTTCCAATCCAATTGAAAATAATTTTATCTAATATATAAAAGAATTTGATAGCTTTACCGTAAATACTCACCGTATTTACTGCCAGTCACTGCCAATAAAATACTTTACATATAGAACTAAGTTCTTAAAGTAAGTATCGTACAATTAACGCCCGCAATCAAAACAAAGCAAAGTGAATACAAAGCACGCTAACCTTAGCTAAAAGCTCATAGGAATAAGGAGTACTCGTAATAATCACGCAATCTAATGTTTACGGCGGGCGGGCGGGTAGTGCGAATGGTGCGGGGAGGGCGGGCGCCACGTGACGAGCGTGCCGCGGTGACCAATGGGCGAACGGATGATGAGTGCGCGCGCACACGCGCAGTCGCGCCCGCGCTAGCCATGGCGGCCGCCGGCCTGCCAGACATCGACATATCCGAAATAAAAACGCGCTCCATCGAGAGAACCTTGCTCCCTCTCATCAAGCAGGTATGCTATCTGTGCATGCGAACGGTACTCGTTCTCCTACCGTAATTTGCGGGTGCATCATCACTCGTGACGTCCTATCATAACAAGTGGATTGCGTCGCTTCTATCTCTGACGTCACGCGACGTTAGTACAGTTTTACGCAGATTGTCTAAAATCAAACTTTATTTTCGGAACTGTAATAATTACGATCACGTAGCCGACAAAGATCGTCACACGGAATTCTGACGTTTACTGTTGGAATTTCGCGCTCTTTACGACTATCTGTTGCGCTTTTACGCAGTCGCAGAAGAGCAGTCCGTAGCGGCAAATTCGAATCTTACTGTAGAAGTATACAGTTATGGGAATTAGGAAATCATGAATGACTTAAAGGTAGGTTTAGTAATATTGGTTAGCCTAACCATAACTTCGGTTAAAAGTTGAATTGGATGGTTAGAAAAAGTTAAGTTACGGTTAAAAGAGCACGAGGGCGGGCAGCCACGTGGCTAGAAGGGCGGGCGGCTTGCGGGCGGGCGGGCGGTGCGATCGATGCGCGCCAGGCCGTCAGTGCCGCGGCGGACGCGGGCGGAGCGGCGCGGTGCCGCAGCGACCCAGCGCCACGGAGCACGTGCACGCGGCCGGGGACTGGGCGCCGCCGAGCGCGCGCCACCGCCACCGCCCGCGTGCCTCGCGCTCGAGACGACATGGACGCGCTCTCCGATGACGACGAATACACGCGCCGCGAGCCACAGGTACGAAACGACGTACTACTGTTTACATCATGAAGACCAGCCTCAACCTCGTCTGCTAGTGCTAGCAAGCCACGCAACAAGTAGCCAGTAGCGTAGAAACTCGCGTGATCAGGTGACCTTGATCAGCCCGCGCCTCGCTGTCTCGCCCGGGTTAAGGCTGACGTCGCCGTCGTGAGCGGCCCTCCAAAATGATTAATTTCCACTGTTAATTATTTTGATTTAGTAAATTTTGAATTAAGCTTCATCCAACGTTAAACTATAGATTTTCTTTATCATCAATCATTTTTTTCTTATCTATATGCCTAAATACTCTTATTTTAATAAACAAAAACAATAGATTATTTATGAACACTTAACAATTGTACATAGACAGTTGATTTCTACATATCGTACGACTTACTTATTTACCACAATTACACTGCGAAGTAAATTAAGTTACTAGGATAAAAATACGGAAATATAAGTTGTAACTAATGATCGTATATTGTCCACAATTTCAACATTTCTCACTGGGTATTTAGCAGTTTTCAACAAGAACTCTCTAGATTTTGTATGAATTCTAAACAACGAACATTCCAATCAAACTGGAAGCTTAAATATCTACTTCAACGACAAGTAAATAAAACTAAAAACTTCACTCTTTTACTATTCCGTCAGTGCGCTATTTTCACAACCATAATTGTGAAATTATAACTAATATCACAGAAAATTGTTGTTGATATTTCGATAAAAATTCAATATAAATTTATTACAATATCACCATATCTTTATTACAATATCTTTAATATATTCAATGCTTTAAAAATGTGTTCCAGGCAATGAGTTAATATTCAAGTCAAGCAAATTAACGAGAACAGGATTTTTTTCTTAATGAAAAAACACAAAATCTAGTATTAGTAAAAAACATGGTCTAATATGTCATCAAATTTAAAAAATCATTGTTTTATTTCCGATAAAATTCTGGCAACTTCATTTCTTCCTGTACTGTCTATCATCCAAGTTATCAGAACAAAAAGTTTTTAAGTATGAAAGCTATATTACATTACTTATACATGTATAATCAGTCTCCATTATCTTTATATAAAGTGGAATACTTGACGCTTTGAAAGACTTTAAACGTAAGATGGTAAAGATCACATTGATGTGTCGTTGTCATTTTGCTCCGTTTCCACGCTCCAGACCTATTGAGCACGCACAAATCTAAACGCAAAAATCTAAATATAAATGAGATAATCATATTTTTGAAACATGTTTGAGGCTCCCGTTATGCGGATTCATATGCCACAGCACTATCACACTTCAATCAAACTGAGGTTTAACCAAATAAGACCTTTCCCAATTCGACGCTATTAAACATTTAGCTTCTCCGCCACCACTCTAAAATTTAATGCTCTAAAAGATATAAACCAACCTATGACCATGGAAATACCAATCTCCTTTTTGTAGTAAATTTTAAAAAGCCACAAATATCACAAACAAATCCTCGCTTCCCTTGTGTTTATTCGTACGAAATACCGTTATATTATATTGGTTGAAAACAATAAAAAAATACGAGTATTGTGTTGAACATTTTGACTGTTTTCGCTACCTTTTTTAAATATATAATCAATATCGGTGTTTTGTTTTCTTCTATTACACCGAGTTTGTTCCTTTAACACGATAATTCTACGATATTAGAATAATAAATTTAGACATTTATCGGCACACAAAGACTCGAAGAGACAAGATACAAACAAACCAAATTAAACAAAGAAAACATTAATATAAAAATATACAATGTCAAGACAACTCAATCGATTTTGGCGGAACTTAAAAAAACTAAGCAGGATATTGGATTCACACCTAGGGAAAATTCTCCTTACTTCTACCGGAATTTTGCAGATTACACATTAACGTGCTGTATTGTACTATATAATCATACATCTTCATTTATAGTGAATCAAATCTTGCAAGATATTTGACCTAATTCCGGTCTACAATTGAGTTGTAATTATGCATGGATATAACATAATATAACTTCAAGCAAAATCAACAAACCAGTTGTAGCTAATTTGAAAATGATTCAATTTTCACCTTAACTAAACTTGTAATAACATAATATATACTAAAAAATAAAAACGTTTTTAAATAGGCCCTTTTTATCTTATTGCCCTACAGATCAGCAGCCTGGTGGCAACACGAGGCGAAGCTGCAGGTGGGGCGGCAGTGCAGCGCGTGGGTGCTGCTGTATGTTGTGCTGTCGAACGGTTCGTCGCTGTCGGCGAGACAATAGCCGACGATAATCCTGACGTGCGAACTAACATGGTGCTTGCCTGCAAGGAAGCGCGTGCTGCAGGTAATTACATACAACTATTTTCGGCATACATAGTAGTAGCTCAACGGCACAGCGGATAATGGCTGCGGTCCGCGATCGTTTTATAAAGCAACTTTCCAAAAGGTCGGTTGCGGGATAAGTTACTAAAAAAAATATCTCGCGCTTCTCCGTGCCTCGGAAGGCACGATAGAGTCCCGGCCGCATTTGCAGTCGTTAATACACCCTCCAATCCGCATTGGGTCAGCGTGAAGTCTTGCAGTGGGGACTTAAAAGAGCCAATAATGATGAGTCTCTTCAGTCACTATATTATCAATATTTTTTTATTGACAATAAACGTAATTATTTTGAGTAAGAACTGCACTGCAATGAGATCGTATCTGTTGGTTTTCTTAGAATAATTATAATCGTATCATTCTCATTGTGAATTCTGAATTCAGAAGCCATGGTTCATCTTGCTGTTGGGATTACTATTGCTTTTAAATATGTACTATACTTTCTTGTTTCTGTAGTTTAATTATTCTGTTTATATAAATTCTTAAACCTTTTATCAAAGTTGACAAGTTCTTATGTAACATAAAATCAACAGAAAATAAAATGCTTCAGGCTTGTGTAATTTTAAACATTATCTGTGTGATAATGAAACACTGTGGAACTTACTGCTGATGTGTGAATAGCCATAAGTATAATAATACATTGAAAGAGATTTATAGGTCACCGTCGCTTTGATTAAAAACCTTCTAAATGGTGCGAGGGCGGATTTAATTTTCCAGATTTCAATTTAGTACATGGAAAGGAAACTTTAATATCATTCGATGCACACAGATCAACGTTTTAGCAAATTACGTTGCGAAACAATGACTGAAAAACAATCGTGAATTTTTTTTAATTGTCGATGTGGACATCATGCTGCGTTATATTTTTTTTATAAATTAAATCAGTTGATTTTTATTTCGCAAAAATAATGGGTTTTTGTATGAAATAAATAAATGAAATGTTCTGTTAACAACATGTATAATAAATCACATCTAAGTAAATTAATCAATGAATAAAACTTCTGGAGAAAATTTAAAACATGAAATCTAAAAACATAGTCAAAATTCAATGCACACCTACTGCGATCGATTATTTTAACTATGATTTTAATATGTTAGTATTTTTAAATCACTTTCTGCTTATGTGTAAATTTTTAACACGAAAAAAAATCATCACTCTTGAACACAATTACTTTATCCATTTTTGTTAATGTTCAATATTTCCTAAGTAAATAAATGATAGAAAATATATTAATAATGATTTATATTAATTAATAATATATTATTTCCACTTATTTTTTCATAAAATGGTTTGTCACTAACAAGACCCACAGTTTATTACCAGTCGGGTTTCCTAGAAAAATAGGCAGCACTTACAAAACATTTTACGTCTTTTGATGTTACGTAAGTATAGAATATCGTCCACATTTAAATTCAAAACAAATATCAAAACTAAATAGTTTTCTAAATTTATTTCAGGAACATATTCTGTTTGATGGAATAGTTTCACCCACACAATGAAGTGACAAAGTCGCTGTTTATAACCTAGAATAATTCGAAAGTTTGCGAGGTCGTTTTCACGATGAGCTCCACTTTAATGAAATGGCTACAAAAGGAACTATTTGATGAAATGAGACCATTAAAACTATCCCTAAAGTTAGACGATTTCTATGCAAATGCCTCCATGATTGTTATCAGAGCATTAACATAGAAAAAACATTATATTAGCATAGCTACATAAAAGTCGCGGAAAATGACTTGGTGTAAAATGTTTTTCTTACACAACCAAAAGGATGCATCATGTTTTTTTTTATTTTGGCTTATTCGTTTTACATTACTATTCAGATAAGATAAAAATGAAATACTGGTTATCTTTAAGCGCATATTTGAAATCCATCAATATAATGTGATCTTAAGAGTCGAAGTATGGCATTTGTGTAAAAAAAAAAAAAACAAACAAAATCTGGATTGCTAAATGAAAATTTCTGCATAGAAACTTTGTATAACCTCACGTGCTTTTGACTGTATTTCACCTTATGAAACAAAACACATCTGGTTATTTCAAAATGATAAAGTTCGACAATTCGCAACGACCTCTAGGTGTCAAGTTTAGGGAACTGGCATTTATTCGAATATTGATAAAGCTGCAGCTTTTAATACGTGATTAATTCAATATTATGTTATCATATATTGTATTTTTTTATAAATTAAAATACTTCATGCTTGATTAGAAACATTAATCACTTAATTATTTACAGGATATCTTAACCACTGCAAATCGTAGTATATTTTATAATAATCATGTTATTTATATTTACAATGTTATATGATAATAATACACCTTTCTAAATAGTTTAAGTGCAGTACTTATTTTACAGGCAAACCATGTTTTTAAGATTCCGTACCCCAAAGGGTGAAACGGGAACAAAGACTTCGCTGTCTGTCCATCTGTCGCCAAGCCGTATCTCATAAACAGTGAAAGTGAGACAGTTTAAATTTCCACAGAAAATATATTTCCCATACAATAATATCATGAACCGTGGTAGTTAGACAGTAGATTTTTTTTACAGATAACGTGATAACGTGCCCTATAACAAAAAATACTATAAGATAGAATATAACAAATATTTAAAATATTTACAACAAACGTGACTATTTTGCTCATTTTTGGTATGGAATCCTTCGTAAGCGAGTCGGTCTCGCACTTGGCCGGTTTTTAGTGTAGACAAAAGAATAAACATTCACTTGATATATTTGAATTTGAAAAACACGGAAGTGTAAATAATTAACCTAAATAAGATATTACCTGTTTACATCTGGCAACCCATGGGTTGTGGCTAACTGAGAGCTGACAACCATGGTTATTTCGAATCCTTACATCATACTCTTTTAAATGATGTGGAGTTCACTAAAAAAACATATGACTGAAATTGATCAACAAAAAGCAGTTACAAAAAAAAGTATTAAAAATAATTGCGGCTAAATTTTACCAGGATAGTAGAATAGATTGCAACAGGTTTGTGCAATCTATTGTACTATCTTGGATCCATCATAAAAAAAGAGTAAAATAAAAAAAAAACTGATAACTGCAGTTTTAAGCAGCGGGATCTTAGACTATTAACGTAATGTGGGAATCCTGTCATTTTCAATTTTATTTATCGTTTCAAAGTATATTTGTATTCGAAAATATGTAATGGCGATATTAAAATCAGTTTTTCATTCATTCTTATACATATTGCATGCTCCTTTTTGACCTTTTATAACAGTCAATTTTTTTTGGCACAGTTCTTAATTTGGTACTTATTCCGTATATATTTTAATCAGAACTACTTTATATTTTTAAATAAAATGTTATTACTAATTTTGTTCTTATTTCATTCTGTTTTCGCAGCCGTACAATTCATTTTGTCTTCAATTTAAACTTAGTTTTATTGCGACATTCAAAACGTGTGGGAAGGAACCCCCGAACATGAAAGGGGCTGGTAGTCCGCAGTTACCAACAATATATACAGACTATATTAAATGTATAGTAGGTATATTTATGCTTCTCTAATGAAAAATATATTTGAATTCAAGCTATTTGTTTAGAGAAACTACAGCGAAATAATTCTGTAGCTAACTAATAAAATTATTTTATTATTATATTAACTTTACGGCGACTACAAAAAATTAAAATGGCGCCTAAGTCTTGCGTCCCCGAGGTCAGTTTATTTAAGAAAATATATAATAAAAGACAGTTTTTTAAAAACAAGCTTTTATTTGTGCGCACTTAAACGTTAATAATAATTTTATGCAAGACAAGTTCGTAACGTTAATGTTAAAGTACTTATAATCAAAGTTTTCTTTATTAGTAATTTACTTGAAAAGCTTGTAGCACGTAAAAAATATATCTAATTCCTATCTCCGATTTCATTTGCGTTACAAGCTTTTCAAGTCAATTACTGTTAGAGATTTTTTTATTATAACTACTCGAACATTAATGTTATGAACTTATGTTGCTTCAAATTATTACTTACGTTTTAGTGCGCATGAATAAAAGCTTGTCATTATTGAAGTGGATAAAATTTGAGTTCCAAGATATGCACACTAACATTCTAACGAGCCAATAATTATTCTTCAAATAACTATAATACTTAAATCTTATAGATGTATATACTCTTACAACATATACATGTAACATTGATTACAGTACACAGGTCAATTGTGGAGTGATCTGAATTCCAAGCCGACCTACTTAGAATATAAGCTTGCTAATGATGAGCTACAAATACAACAACAAAGAACCTCGCACTACAACGGGCTTACGTGAGCCGATCGACATTTTCAAATGCAGCACAAATATAAAATGCATTTAAATTAGAGAGCTGCATGCAATTGCATGGCAGAATAATATTTTCTGTTATTAAGTTTTTATATGTTTTGATTGTACGTACAGAGCTTTAGTAGCATTATTTACAGGGCACTTAAGTCGCCTGCTATCGCGGTGCATACAAAAACACATCGTACAGTAATATTATAAACTGAAACAGCATGTGGTATATTTCTGATACCATACGAAAATATGCATGTATTGTTAAACAAAATATGTTTCGTTAAACAAAACATGCAAGCTTTTAGTAAAACAATTGAATAAAAGTTATAAACAGTATATTGATAAAAATTAAACTCATTACAAATTCAATACATCTGTACAATCTCATAATAAAAATAGTTTGTTGTGTCGGTTTATAAATAAATCAATAATATCCTTATATAAAATTCGTTAAGTGTTTTTGTGGCTATCAAGTGAATATTGGTACAAAATACAGCATACCATATCAACTATGTGCCAGGAGCTTTATTATGCGAATTATCACTTTGGTATTTTTACCCGGTTTTTGAATTGAGAATTGAAGCTTAAGAACGTGTCAAACTTATTTATTTAGTAGAATTGGGCCCCGGTTCCTAAACGTCACATAAAAAAAATGTCTGATTTTTGTTTATTTTAAT